CCTGAGGAGGGGATTGTCATGTCTAGCGGCTACGTCAAATCGTTTCTCCGCGTTTTGTCTTATTGTCTGTGTAGCGTTTGTGTATTGTAAGTCTCGTAATATGTCAGTGTTTCTTACGTACCAGGGCGCGTCGGTGGCCGTGCGGAGGGCTATGTTTTCCACAGCCTGTAATGACTTTAAGTGGCTTTTTGCCGCGTGACCCCACGCCGTGGAGGCGTAGGTTAGCTGCGGTTGAAGACCACCTTGATAAGCGTTCGCTTATTCCTTAAACTGAGGGTGTTTCCACCTTTGAGTAAGGGATAGAGCCTAGCCCTGGTGGTCTTCGCCTCGCGCCACCGTCTCCACGATGTGCGGTTTCCACGTGAGACGCTGGTCCATCGTCACGCCCAGGTATCGTGTTTGTCGATTCCAGGAGATGGTTCCTGGGATAGTGTCAGTCTGTCGAGGTTTTGTGGGATTTTTCGTTTGGTAAAAAGGGTTAGCCGAACTTTTGTTGGGATTAATTTTGACTTTCCACCTGTTGCACCAAGTTTCAAGTTGGTCTAAGGAGCTTTGGAGGAGGTAGACGGAATATCTAGGATCTACGGATTGGGATGTGATTGTCAGGTCGTCGGCGTATATGTTGGTGTTGGGTGGATGTGGGATGTCGGAGTTTTAAATGGTGTATAGGTGTGGAGACAGGACGGTGCCCTGGGGGACACCGGCCTCCATGGGACGGGTGGTGGAAAGGGAATCTTGGATTTGGATGCGGAATTTTCGGTGGTGTAGGTAGGATTTTATGAGTTTGGTAAAGGATATGGGATATTGGTTGGTGAGCATTTTCATCAGTAGGCCTTCATGCCAAACCGTATCGAAGGCCTTTGCGACGTCCAGGAAGACAGCACCAGTGTACTGTCCCCTGTTGAAGGCCGCCGTGATGTGCTCGGTAAGGCGAAGGATTTGGAGTTCAGTGGAGTGATTGGGTCGGAAGGCGAACTGCTCGTCTGGAATGACTTGCAGTTCTTGGGAGTGGGTTCTTAGACGGGTTAGGATAATTTTTTCTACCACTTTGCTCATAGCCGGGAGCAGGCTAATGGGCCGGTAGTTGGATGGGATGGTGTGATCTTTGTTGGGTTTTGGGATAAGGATTATGTTTGCTGTTTTCCAGCGGGTAGGGAAGTGTCTTAGTCTGAGTGTCGCGTTTGTTATGTTTAGTAGGGCCATGAGGCCCTTGTGTGGTAGTCGTTTAAGTGTCGTGTTATGTATATTGTCGGGTCCGGGGGCTTTTCTGTTTTTAAGTCTGCGTATTGTCAGTCTTAGTTCGTCAGGTGTTGCGGGGGGGATTATGTCATTGTCTGGCTCTCTGTCGACGCGTCGGGCCGCGCGCTCAGCCACTA